CTTGATCTTATCATTTAGTACTTCTTGTGTTTTCTATGAGGACTCGATCTGCACTTTCTGACCTGCAGTCATAGTTCAGAGAGCGGGGACATAGAGCAGATGCGGGGACGTGGAGAGGGTGTGGGATAAGGTGGGGGACTTAGTGCCCGATGGCCCAGCGTTCACATCCTGGCTCTCCCTTCTACTAACAGTATTGGCTGGGACAAGTTGCCCGACCTTTGCAAGTCTCAGTTTCCCCCCCTGTAAAATGGGCCCACCCTACCTAGAGTTGTTGGGATCCTGGTGTAACATGGAGTGCAGTGCCTGGCCTGAGGAAATTGCACATTTAGCTGCTGCATTGTTGCTATGGTGATCATTCATTCAACAGGGATATTGATCACACTGCCAACATAAACATGGTTCCTACTACCATAGGCCTCATGCTCAGGTGGGAGAGAGAGATACTAAGTAAATAAACAACTAAGGAGAAAATTTCAGGTGGTAATGAAGCAACTATTCCAGCAGTGTGCTAGTGAATGCTTAAGACCAATTCTTGAGGGTATAAAAACGAGCCCAGTTTTTAGCACTTGCCCATTTTTGTGGTGTAAATATTCCCACCGTGGCTGATTTCAAACTACCAAAGTGATATCTACTGGCTCTTAAAATTCCTAAAAATTTAACAGTTGTTTCTTGCAAGGCTGAAAGAGCTGGCTCCGGCGCTGGATGTATGTAAATAATATCCTGGAAAGACCTGAAGTTCTGAGAACGAAATGTATTGGTGGGAGAGGATTCCAAGCAGAGAAGAAGGCTGGGCAAAGGCCCTGAGGTCAGAAAGAGTTTGATGTGCTCAGGGAACAGACGGATGGCTGGTGTTGGCAGGAACCTAACAGGATGGAGGGAGAAGAAGGCAGAGGCTGGGCTGTTGGAAGCCTCACAGACCACGGCACCAAATTTCAATTTTATTCTAAGGCCACAGGAAATCCTTGTAGGGTTGTAAGCTGGAGAGTACCTTAGCCCAATTTGCACTTCTAAAAGATCACTGGGATCATCTGTAAAAGACCAGCAAGAGGCCGGTTAGAGGGTGGTGATGGTCATTCCTGGGAGAGGCAACGGTGGCTTGGACTAGGTGTGTCAGCAGGGGAGGGGACAGAGGTAGCTGGATTCAGGCGGGGCCGTGGGGACGTGACAGATTTTATCTGCAGGTGTTCCCTGGTGTTTACCATGGATACACTCCGCCTGCAATTTCTGCTCTTCTGTCATGGCAGGAGGAAGGAACCTTAGGGCATACAGTCCGTCTACCTACCTTCTTCTCCATACGTGAGGCTGTGTTTACCACTTCCTTCTAAATCCAGGAGGCAAGATGAGGAAATATATTTCTCTTGGCTCCAAATGCAAAGCAAAAGCAAAATCTCTTCTCAGCGCTGCCCTTCTTCCTTTGATTTTTGTCACTGACAACAGCGCCCTGTTCTTCCATGTGTGTGGGGGGAAGAAAGATAAGAGGCTCTGCCCTGGGTTTCAGTCTTTGCCCTACGGTGCCTCTTGGGTGTGGATCAGACACATATGTAAATGCCATGGGCGTCGGCCTAGCAGAGTACGAAAAAGGTTGCCATCTGGCTCTGCTCCACTTCCAACCCGTGTCTTTGTATAGTTTTTAGACGGGGACGGGGGAATTCCATCTTTCTCGGCTGGCATTGTCCGATAGAACTTTTCTCGATGGCGGAAATGTTCTCCATCTGAGCTGTCCATTACCGTGGCCACTGGCCACTTGTGGCTATACACCAATTGACATGTGCAGCTGAGAAACCAAATTTTCAATTTTGCTTAAGGTTTGTATTGGACAGCACAATGCTAGACCGCGAGTGATTACCCACTGGACCTCTGTTTTTGGCAGCTGACTGGAGAT